CATCCGCCAGGTCCTCACTCCACCCGCCACCACCGCGTCTGCCACCACCAAGCCCGCGCGGGTCTGAGCCTAGACCAGAGCCAGGCCCGCCGCTGTACTTGGGGGCTGGGAAGGGGAGGGGGCGACACTAAAGCCTTTTGTCACCATTGGCCTCGGCCTCATAGTGAATACTGAATATGCTCCCGGAGGGAGGTGGGCCGGCAAGAGGGGGGTGGGCTGTGCCTTAAATCGGGGAACGACAAGGAAGGGCCAGGAGGTGAGACCCTGGCCTGGGAGAGGGGGCGCACGCAAACGCTCTCACCAGTCTCCGAGACAGCTGGACCGCGCTCCATCACTGCCTGCAGCTGCCGCGGCCACCCGCACAGGGGCGGGGCCTGGCTCTACCTGGGGGTCGGTTTGTTTCTGTTTGTTTGTAAATAAAAGTACTTAATTAGTTTGACCTCTAGCAAATGGGGGCCGGGGCTGTCCAGCAGGAGGCAGCATCTAACTCAGCTGCTGGGAACCAGAAGCAGGACTGGAGAGTTGAAGGCTGAGGGCCCAACTTTGGGGTTCTGAAAAAGGAGGGGCCTGTGGGCCTGGATTCTTGGGTGCGGAGGGACTGGACTTCCTATAACACAGACCCAGCTCCCCCACAGACTTAATCCAGAGAACTGGGTTCTTAGCTACTGCCCTTTATCAACCTAACCCCGGCATGCACCAGGAGGAAACTCAAATCCCAGAGAGAAGTAGAGTAGAGCTAACAAGACACCAGAAACAAACTGGTCACCCAAAATTCTGGAGGCCCAAGCTCTGCCCAGCTGTGACAGTCACTCAGTCCCTCAACCATGACTCTGTGGCCTCACTCTTTTGTAGGCCCTAGGTTTGGAGCAGAGATGGTTTTGATTCATGGCCTACCCTCAAGGGACTCAGGGAGGATGGGGGATTGATGCAGACCCAGGCTGTCACAGCCATCAAGGGCTCCACCTGTAGTAGTCCCAGAGGGCTTCACAGAGGAGGTGATCCAAGCTTGACTTTAAAGGATGAGCACGAGTTTGCTCAGCATAAGAAACATGCAAGGTTGTCAGAGCCAGAGGACAGTGATCAGGCCTCTGCTTGGCAGAAGGTCAGGTGCAAAGTGGGGAGTATCCTGAGGGACCAGGTGTGGTCAACAGGAGCAAATCCTGAAGGACCTGGAGTGCAATTTGGACTATAACTGGAGGGCAGTAATGGACACAGAAGGGCTTTGAACGGGGGAGTTGAGG